CACTTATTTGACCATGGTGTTCTCGGGTTGTGTGTAGCTGCGTCTCGTGTCTCGGTCTAGGCCACAAACTGGAGTATCTAGGAAGCATGCGCGCGCTTGGAATCTCATGAAAAGTTTGGCTTCAGCATGCATCTTCAAGCGTTTATAATTCTCATGGCGCACATGAGGATAAAATGATAACACAACATAGTCACTTTTCAAGTCTCGCACATCTGCCTTCGCACTCTTTCTCCGTTGCTTTTCTCGAATCACCTCTCGGTCTCAATTCCTTCGTAGGTGTGAAGGAAGCAGATCTCCTTTCTAGGTGCGTATCGATAGTTCTTCAGTCAGCTCATCCTTTTTCTACACACCATAACACAAGCAAAGTTGATAGACATAGCAACAATAACTGAGCGGAAAGTCGGTGACGTCAACCGAGATCACTCAACATTCTTGAGAGCGTCCTCTCTCTTGCGCATGCCTCTCATGCATACTTGACCCGTCACCCCGTAACCGCCTCCTACTCGGCGCCTCCGCCAACATGAGTTAGCATGAGGGCCTTCTTCTACCTGCGTCGTTGCAGGGTGATCCCGCCTCCACTGATCCTGTCCATGTCGGGACTAGGTTTCTACGGCGTCATTAGCCTCAGACTCAGCCTTGGGAGTCCCGGTCCAACCGCTGCTGTACACGCTCAGCGGTCCCAATAGACACTTTTGTCTCGTGATAAGAGACTATCACTTGAATCTCCGCAGTAGCCCCATCTCTTCAACACTAATAGCCGCCTCTATTCTCTCGGATTTTCTCATTTCCTCTTCTCTCACTCCCTCAACATTGATCTTCAATTTTCCCTCCCTACCGCCGAAGTCTAGGATTGTGGTGATCCAGAGACTTCCCTCCTCCGACTCCAAGATCCAGCGTACTAGAGATTTCCAATAGTTGGGCTTATAGCCCTCCAATCCATTCCGAACCGCCACAATCACTTACAGAGTTCCACGTTCTTTGCACATACTTAGTCCCTCTTAAATTGCAGGCCAACAATCACCCTCTTCACATCGTTGCCCCGACTTACAGGCAACAAGAATATCCTTGATCATACATCAACTGACCAATAACACGTGACGCGGTAGTTTATTCTTTTATAAGATTGCTACGTACTGCAATCACTGCGTTCTAAATACGGGATACAAGCAATCTTTAAAACTTTGGTTGTTAATAATTAAATGTCAAACATAGTTAAAATTATTATATAATAACTAAAGCGTGACCGGACCTCAACAGTTATGTCTTAATAAAAAACTCTCTACAATTAGTCCCCTGCCTGCTCGACTTTGCGTGAAATGATCATCAGCTCAACGTGCGGTGGTCCCATAACGGGATACCGATTAACTATTTATTTTTTACAAAAAGGTCATCAGACTACCCCTAACGGGTACCCGTCTTTGATGGCAAGGACGGGGCTTATGACCTTCTATGGGGATGATAAGCCTCCTACCAAAGTGGTTGTGGGTCGCCCCCTTTTTTTGAAGTTCTACATCAAGAGGCCCACCAAGTCACACTCTTGGCAACTTAGACGTGAAGGGCCGGCCAGTCGAGGCTGCCTATTCATAATCAACGTTAAAAACGAACCCTTAGTTCCCTTGCGAAAAGACACAAAGGGAACTAAAACAAAAAAATACTAAATAATAAAAAATATATATTAAAAAGAAAGAAAAAAAAAAAATCTAATGTCGTTGTCGAGCACGGCGGTCCCACACCCTGCAGCAAGTGTCGGACCTCACAATCGTGTCACACAGGAGTAACTATGTGTTCTTAAATCAGCGCAGATACCTTTTCGACTGTCGGTGTCTGTTATACCTCTCGTCGCTCTCTACGACATGATAGAGCTCCGCGAGGTACAACTCACCTCTACCGAAAGGGTTCTCACCACCCTTAGGCAAGTGTATCCCTGTTGAGCTATTGACCCACGTGCGAAGGTTTTTACTTGCAATCGCAAAGGTAAGTCAGTCGAGGGTGTTTGCTCGGTTGCTATAGCACAGACATATGAGCGGTAGAACGGCTAAGACTGACCCGTATATATGTCGGTCATCGGGGTGCTGATCTCCCTAACCGGCTTGCTATTCAGGTAGACTTCGACTGACAAACTTTCTTACATTCATCACTTTGATCTAATCGTACTTGGTCCATAGGTTACATAAACCCTATCAATCACACAAGCTACAAACACACTTTTAAAGATTTGTTTTACGTGTAGAAGTAAATTCCCCAAATTTATGACCAACCATATCTTCAGTAATTTGTAAAACAACAAAATATTTTCCGTTATAAACTTGTGCATAGTAACCGACAAATTTAGGCAAAATACAAGATATACGTGACCTAAGGGATTCTCTTGCTAATGTTAATTAAATCAACACGGGACTTCCCAGACTTCAGGACAAGAAGTCTGAACCGTATCACCATTCTATTAGAGATAGTTTTACTCAAACACTTAGAACGTTAATGATAATGAAACAAAAGGTTTTTCATACAATATTAAGTACGAGGTTTTACCAGTGAAACACCTACCCTTTTCATAAGTGCGGCATGCCAGAGGTTTTTCAAGCAGTCAAATTCAGTTCAACCAAACATGCTCATACGACAAATTTGCACAAAACATGCAAGGGCAATTCATATGCCATGCACTAAAGAAGTCAACTTTCAGTCCACATCATCGACCTGTCCCTAATATCCTTCAAACCATGCCTAACAGTTTTATCTTTCCTGAAACTCGTCGAGCCCAACCCCCTCACTTCATTTGAAAACATCTTTGAGAGCGACCAGAACTATCCAAGCACTCGATCGCAAGAGACATTTTTATTGGCTACAAGGTTTGTCTTTAGTTGTGGGTATCAAGTCAAAGGAGGAAAACAGTTGAATTGGTAAAAAATGACATGTTACCGAGAGATAACAGACAATTGCAGTTCGTGTGGATCCTTCCTACGGATCCTTTCTCGGTGAAATATGATAGCGACCTGCACACACACGGGTTGACAAAGACTTAACATCCCTTTCTCCCGCTTCTCACCCTCTTATTGTTTCGAAGGTTGAATCCCTATAACATAATTGTAAGCTTCCGGAATGACATCCCAAAGCTCAACTCCTGGTCCTTACTCAATGGTCAGTTTGTGTCATCTGTCCCTTCTCATTTTTCCTCAAGGAGACTTGCGCTCATATCCTAAGTTGTTAAAGGCAAAATTTATATTTTCCTTTACTTTTATTCTCTTCATTCTCTCTCTCTCCAAGATCAAGTACAACCTTTGCTGCTTGCTTGACTTCAACTAGCCCGAATTCATATTCAGATGACTACAAGTGGATTCAGTTTATGCGGTGGTTCTTTATTTCATTGGGTTTTTTTTTTCTCGTGGTTTTGATCATTCTTCCGTTACGTAGACTCACTCTCACTTGAAGTACGCCCCTTTCCTATTTTTCTTGGGTTCTTCTTAATCCGGCACAGATAAGTAGCAGACCGATTCGCACTGAAATTTCCCATTACTGATCAATTTCAAGCAATCTACCTTCAAACAAGTAGCGAGATAACTCACACTGGAGTATCCAACCACCCTTTCAAATTCATCCATCCCATACGCAAACGAACAATAGATACTTACGTATATAGCAACTTATACAAGTAGCAGGGTAACTCACACTAAAGTATCCAACCAGTTGGCTTAAAACGAATAATAGAACGGTTCACACTTGAACATCTCACTATCTGTTTTGATATTCGACAAATCATAATATTTGTTTGACCTTTAGGCGATTAATGATGGAAAGTAGTGAGATGCTCCAGTGAAAGTCATCTTGCCGCTTATGGAAGATTAAACGCCTATCAATCACTGATTATGTACAAATTGTTCGACTAAGTACTGAATCAGTAGTATGATACCTCCAGTGAGGATCATCCTAATACTTGATTCAATAATTTAGACGATGAGGTTTCAAAGCTTTAGTAGGGGACTCCTGTGAGGGTCATCCTATTACTAGCTCAAACCATAAATAACGAGATTGAAGAAGCAACAGGATACTCAAGTGTGAGTTTTCTTGTTGTTTGTCTTCCTGTCTGTTTATTGGTCCTCAACGTGTCTAACGCCGAAGGACAGGTAGTAGGATACTTCAGTGAGAGTCATCCTATTACTTGTCGTGCTACAGGAGGTAGTAGGGGACTTCAGTGGGGGTCATCCTATTACTTGCTTGAAGTTAGACTACTTAATACTCATAAAGTAGTAAGAGACTCCAGTGAGGGTCGCTTTATTAGTTGTTTGAGTCTGAACTAACTTATATTTTATAAATAATAGGGTGCTCCAGTATGAGTTATCTTGATATTTTTTTTCTATCTACTCACCTAAACCCAACCGTTTAACTTTGAGTGGGTGGTAGGTTACTGTAGTTCAAGTCATCCTATTACACACCTAAAGTCAGACGACAAATTATTCAGGAGTAGTTGGGGGCTCCAATGAGAGTCGTCCTATTACTAACTTAAACCCTAGATAGTGGATCCCAAACCTCGTTTGAGCAGGGCGAAGCAGGCACGTGCACTCAAGTTCTGGAGTCTGCAGCAGTTGCGTCCTCAACTGTGATCGTGGCCACCTGTGAAGTCGGAAGAAGTTGACCACCTTATTTGCCTTGTCGATGATGTCGGCCGCCCATTGCAGCTTGCAGATGTCGTGCATGAGGAGGTCCATGCAATGGGCAGTGCAAGGGATCCAGTAGATCTGCGCAAACTCGGGATCCTCCCTCAACATCCTGGCAGCACTCGTGTTCCCTGCGAAGGAGTCCGTGCAAATCGCGGTGATCTTCTTCACCCCCCACTCCCTGAAGAACCTCTTCCAACCGGTGACGACTGCGACTGAGTCCTTGTCTCCCTCGCTCACATCCTCACACTTGATGAAGACCGGATTTGACCGCCCTGCGAGGATGTAGTTCATAAGTGATCACCCACATATGTCTGTGGTGCCATCAGTTATGAACGTGCACCCTGTAACCTCCCACTCTGCCCGGATCGCCTCGTCCTCATCCTTCAGCCTCCCGTGCAACCGATCGAGGAGTCTGCATCTGAGCAGGTTGTACCCGGTGGGCACAAGAGGGTGCTTCACCGATGGCTGAGGCCCGTAGCACGCCAAAGTGAACTTCTTGAAGCTCTTGCTTTTCGCGGCGTTGAACGAGATGGCGTTCTCTACGAAGAACTCGCAACAGGAGTCATCAATCTCCTGCTGCCTCGGGTTCTTCGCATAACTCACGATGCTCGTCTGCCTCGCCTGCACAGGCGTGCGGCCCCTCTGCCGCACTGTGTGTGACGAAGCAGGTGTCCCCGCAGTTGTGCCTCCACCCGTCACACCTGCCCTCGTGCACTCCTCGCCACCAGCAACATGATGGCCACCGCCCAACTCCTCAACCTCCCCACCCATGGAGCCTCCTCCCCCTCCACCGTCTGCAATCTCCTCCACCGCAAGGGCGTCATCCTCGTCGCTGGGATTCTCCTCCATCGCCCGCTGCACCCTCTCCTCAATTCTGTCGGGAACTCAGCGTCAGCCTTGTGCAGTCTTCTCCAGATGGCAAGGGTGGCATGCGGGCACCTAGACGATGCCCTCTTCTTGTAAAAGTGCTCGCCGAACCAGTTTTATGTACCTGTGTACTCAAGGCCACACAACTTGCACTTCAGTCTTCTGCCACCGCGAGAGTTCCCCGGCAGAAGTTGACCGGCAATCACCCATGTCCAGACCACGTGCTTGCCTTTGTAATTCCTGTCCTCCTGGAAAGCGGCAACTGATGCTGCTCCACCCACTCCACCGGCGGCGCTGCTGCTGGCCATGGTTCCACTGGTGTCCCGACTGCTGATGTCGCAGCTACTGACTTGGCAGGTGTCGAATCGCCGACCGCTGATGTGGCAGTAGCTCACGTCGCAGCTGCCGAAGTGTCAGTTGCTTACGTGGCAGTTGTTGACTTGACAGCTTCAGATGTGCCAGCTGCTGATGTGCCAGCAGCTGTTATGGCACCTGTTGAAGTGGCACCTGCTGATGTGGCAGATGTTGACAGGCAGTTGCTGACGTGGCACCTGCTGACGTGGCAGATGCTGACGTGGCAAATGCTGATATGGCAGCTGGTAGTCCTGCATAACCAAAGTTCCCAAACGACAACGGAAGGGACGTCAGTGCAACCCGTGTTGAAGACGAGGAAAAAACAAAACAAAAAATTGAGCGTGCAGACATGGCACCGCTGCAGACATGGCAGTTGTTGATGTGGCAGCTGCTGCGCAAACATACTCACGGATAGACACACAGACACACAGACAGACACATAGACACACAGACAAACAGACAGACAGACAGACAGACAACTACTGACGTGGCAGCTGCTGCGCAAGCAGATGGTCGCACAGACAGACAAACAGACAGACAGACAGACAGAAGAAGAAGAAGAAGAAGAGGAAAAAAAAAAAGAAGAAGAAGAAGAAGAAGAAGAAGAAAAGAAGAAGAACAAGAACAAGAAGACTAAGGAGATATGGCGGGGGAGGAGGAGGACGACCACGAGATACATATGGCGGGAAGGGTAGAAGAAGAAGAAGGACAAGAGGAGGAGGAGGAGGAGGAGGAGAGGGAGGAGGAGGGGAGGTCGACGACAGGGGGAAGTCGGAAGAGGAGTGTTGGGCAACGAGCGTGCAGACGAGGCGGGGATCCAGGTAGGTAGGTAGGATTTAATCGAATCTTGATCTCCTCCTCCTCCTCTTCTTCTTCTTCTTCTTCTTCTTCTTCGTCGTCGTCGTCGTCGTCTTCTTCTTCTTCTTCGTTGTCGCCGTCGTCGTCGTCATCGAGACCCTCTCCTCCTCCTCCTCTTCTTCTTCTTCTTCTTTGTCGTCGCCCTCTCCTCCTCCTCCTCCTCCTCCTCCTACCTACGTACCCGGATTCCGACTTCCCCCCCGTCGTCGACATCCCCTCCTCCCTCTCCTCCTCCTCGTCGTCGTCCTCCTCCTCTTACATACCCGGATCCCGACTTCCCCCGTCGTCGCCCTCCCCTCCTCCTCCTCTTCTTCTTTTTATTCTACTAGATCACAATCAACCAATCAATCAGCAATCAATCAATCAATCAATCAATCAGTCCATTCAATCAACGAATCTATTCGATTCGTTGATTGAATCGAATCAAGATCAAGATTCGATTCAATCAACAAATCGAATCGATTCATTGGTTGAATCGAATCTACATCAAGATTCGATTCAATCAACGAATCGAATCGATTCATTTATTGAATCGAATCTATATCAAGATTCGATTCAAAAAACGAATCGATTCGATTCGTTGATTTAATCGAATCTTGATCTCCTCCTCCTCCTCCTCCTTCTCTTCTTCTTCTTCTTCTTCTTCTTCTTCTTCTTCTTCTTCTTCTTTGTCGTCGTCGTCGTCGTCGTCGTGGTGGCCCTCTCCTCGTCCTCCTCCTTCTTCTCCTCCTCCTCCTCCTCCTCCTCCTCCTTCTTCTTCGTCTTCTTCTTCTTCTTCTTTGTCGTCGCCCTCTCCTCCTCCTCCTCCTACTACTACTACCTACCTACCCAGATTCCGACTTCCCCCCCATCGTCGACATCCCCTCCTCCTCCCTCTCCTCCTCCTCGCCGTCCTCCTCCTCCTCCTCTTACCTACACGGATCCCGACTTCCCCCGTCGTCGCCCTCCCCTCCTCCTCCTCTTCTCTTCTTCTTCTTCTTCTTCTTCTTCTTCTACTACTACTACTACTACTGGATCACAATCAACCAATCAATCAGCAATCAATCAATCAATCAATCCATCCATCAACGAATCGATGATTGCATCAAATCAAGATCAAGATTCGATGCAATCAACGAATCGAATCGATTCATTGATTGAATCGAATCTACATCGAGATTCGATTCAATCAACGAATCGAATCAATTCATTGATTGAATCGAATCTACGCTCAAGATTCGATTCAAACAACGAATCGATTCAATTGGTTGTTTGAATCGAATCTTGATGTAGATTCGATTCAATTAATGAATCGATTCGATTCGTTGATTGAATCGAATCTTGATCTTGATTCGATTCAATCAACGAATCGAATCGATTCGTTGATTGAACGGACTGATTAATTAATTGATTGATTGATTGATTGATTGATGATTGCTGATTGTTGATTGTGATCCAGTAGAAGAAAAAAAAGAAGAAGAAGAAGAAGAAGAGAAGAGGAGGAGGGGCGGGCGACGACGGGGGAAGTCCGGATCCGGGTAGGTAAGAGGAGGAGGAGGACGACGAGGAGGAGGAGAGGTAGGAGGAGGGGATGTCGACGACGGGGGGGAAGTCGGAATCCGGGTAGGTAGGTAGGAGGAGGAGGAGGAGGAGAGGGCCAGGACGACAACGACGATGACGACGAGGACGACGACGACGATGAAGAAGAAGAAGAAGAAGAAGAAGAGGAGAAAGAGGAGGAGGAGGAGGAGGAGGAGAGAACGAAGAAGAAGAAGAAGAAGAAGAAGAAGAAGAAGAAGAAGAAGAAGAAGAAGAAGAGAAGAAGGAGGAGGAGGAGGAGAGAACGAAGAAGATGAAGAAGAAGAAGAAGAAGAAGAAGAAGAGGATGAGAAGGAGGAGAAGGAGGAGGAGGACGCGGAGGAGGAGGAGGAGGGGGAGGAGGAAAAGGAGGAGGAGGAGGAGAAGGTGGACCTACTCGGGGGCGCGATGGTTGTTGGCGTACGGTGCGCTTGGACGAGCGGCGAGGCAGCCTGACTTCGCATTCGAATTCGAATGGGGGGACCCGGCTGCCCCTTCCCGCCAGGCCGCCCCCCGACCCCGCCCCCC